TAATTGGATGTTGTAAAAGCTTGGATTGAGGTTGCCACTGTGATGAACAGAATAATAGCAGTTGTTGGGTGAGGAGTTGATATTTGAGAAGAGCAATATGGCTCTACTCTCCTAGCACTTGCACTTTGCACTTTGCACTTGCACTTGCACTTGCACAAATATAGACATGCTACCACTTATTCGGTTCAGTTTCTAGACCGGGTCTATGTCTAGAACTGGACCAGAGCTGTGTAGACCGCCTGGCTGGTCCCTTCTGGAATAGATCTAAAGTCTAGAACAATTCTACCAGAAGTTCTATATATATAGCATGATTATTGTGCTTCAAAATGAATTCATAGAGCCCTCCTGGCATTATTTACTGGTTGTCATATTGATGGCTCATTACCGCTATCGACTGGCATGAAGGAGCGATCGCCTTCACCCGGTGCCTGCCCGAGTACAAAAGGGCCTGATTGATGGAACAATGGGATGAAGAGGACAATGAACCCCTGGGCAAAGGGGATCGCCTCTTTGTCACCCGGATATACAACGAGGGGCTGAACACGCCCAGTCACATCCGGGCCATGCAGAGTGTAGCCACCAAGTTGGCCGCCGCCGCCCACGCCGCCGGAAAGCCCCGAACAATGGAGGAAAGTGTACCAGCGCACTACTTGCGGGAGTTCAAAGAGGTTTTCGAAAAGCAGGAGTTTGACAAACTCCCGGAACGGAGGAAATGGGACCATGCCATTGAGCTACACCCAGACGCCGAACCCGTAAAAGGGCATTGTATTCAGAAAACTCCTCTACGGGGTTCTCACCCTTCTTCCTGATGCTGGGGTTCCACCCGAGAAAGGGGGTCTGAAGCTCCACAAGAGGTGCCAACGGAAGCCGCAACAGTATTTGCCGACTGAATGAAGGAAGCACAGGCCGACACGGCTGAAGGCCCGAAGCTATGAGGGAAGCCCAGGAAAAGATGAAGAAGTACTACGATTGGAAACACACCCCGGACCCAAACTACTCTGAGGGTGACAAGGTGTACCCACAAGGAACAAACCTCACCAGCGATTGACCTTCGAAGAAACTCGACAAAAGATTCAGGCCATTCGAAATCAAGCGGAAAGTCGGCAAAACCTCCTACGAGCTGATCTTACCCCCGACACGACACATTAGTCCCGTATTCCACACCGCACTTTTACGGCCCTGGAAGGCCCCAGTAGCAGATCACCAGCAGGCCGCTCCGCCGCCCCCGGCCAAGATGCAGGATGGGAACCCCACTAAAAGTAGAGGCTATCTCCCTCGTATGCAAACCAGGGCGACATTGCCTAAAATATTTAATCCAATGGAAGGGCTACCCCCGGGAGGAGTGGACGTGGGAATCGCGGGATAAACTAGAGGGCGCAGAGGAGGCACTCGAAGATTTCTACACACTCAACCCATTCACGCCCCGCGAGGAACTCGTAAATGGACGGTGGAAAATTCGCAAAGAAGACCAGAGCACACAAACCCATAAGGTGTCGAGACGCCGCCCACAACGGAGGGGGGTGATTTTAAGGTTCGGGTCGGGCCGCCGGGCTTTAGAGCCGTTCGGGGGCCAATCGGGGCCAATCAGGCCCGCGCGACCACCATACTCCTCAACACTCCCTCATTCTTCTAACCCCTTTCCTTCACCCCTGCGGGCCCTACGCAGCACCCATCCAATCCGCCCTGGGACCTAGCACCCATCCAATCCATAGGCAACTGCACGGGTAGGCCAAACCCGTGCGGGTACGCGGGGTTTTACCCACGCGGGTACGGGTACAGGTCAGCGGTGAGGAAACCCGTGGCTTCCTGACTCAGCTGGCTCTGTTCATGGAGGTTGTTGCTGAGGTCCTTGCTTTGAGTCTTGCTAATATAGGTGCTTTTTATCACCTATTACGGCTTTGACTCACCTTGGACCTTTGACACATCTTCATCTGTGACCGGTGACCCATGGGTAAACCCATACCTGTACCCGCGGGTACGGGTACGGTGGCTGTGCGGGTAAGGGTACGAGTAATGCCTCAAATACCCATGCAGTTGCCTACCAATCCATCCCTAATATCTTAGCGTATAAAAACCGTACTTACAGGATGTAGTCACTAGGCTAATATCGTCTATTCTCCGGGCTTGAAACCCATCTTCGTGCTCCTCAGACCCACTCGCAGTCGGACCGCCCGACAATCCGATTCGGCATGAGCCTGACGCTGACACCCATGGCTCTGAACCCACAGACAAGGCCACCCTCTAAGCAGCCTGAACAGGACTTCAGTGACTAGGGAAGTCAACATGCACACTTGAAGGACATACAAACTCACCAATGGTCACATAGAAATAGCACAAACTACTTCAGAGGAAGTAGCAGGATATGTTGTGGGCTAATGGAAGGGAAAATAGCCTGGCCCGATGTGTCAAACATGACCTCAACAACCTCCGATAGAGGCTGCGGCTTCTAGTGACGAGATGTTGGATCAGCAGTCACGAAGGTGGCAGGACCATCAGATAAGGACAAGGAATTAGACTTGTCGAAACATAATGTTTCAGGGATAGAGAGTCTTACGCGGACGCCAGAAGAGCTATGTGACACAGGCATTTTGCCTTGGATATTACTCAAGTGAGGCTAATGTTAAGTGCCGTGTCGACCAAAGGACGGGAGTCGGAGTCGGAGTCGGAGTCGGAAACAGAATCGAAGTCGGAGAGCACTTGGGGGCGGAACACCACAGAAGGATGTTTGAGTGACCGGGGCTTCCGGTTGACCAAGATAAGACAAGAAGACAAGAGCGGAGTCGAGACGACGCTGGGAGATAGAGACCAGCAACGTTAATTTACAAACTGAAGTATGTAGTAATACATCAAAGTATTTATAGTACGAGAAGTAACGGAAACGGAATAAGGGATAACAAAGTAAGTAACGAGATTAGAACAAAGTCAAGTAAAGTAGAAGGGGAGTTGCATACGAGGAATAAGGCATAGATGATTGCATAGATCATAAGTTGGGGTAATTGGAAACGCTCAGTAAATCTTCATTGTGAAAAAACCAAATACCGGAGTCGATATCGGAGACGGAATGCCGGAGTCGGCACGGATATAACAGCTGAATACTACAAGAGAGTGGTTCTAATCAACTTATGGAGAAGCAATGAAGTTGGCCTGCCGACTTGATGCGTAGCCCGTGCATTACAACATAATCAAGCTAACACGAGAGCTTCCTTATTGAGAGATATATGATATTGCTAAAATTTTCAAAACTGCCCAAAAATATCAGAAACTACCCTTTTAAGACATCTTTTTTTTGCTGAAATCCATGGGATACTTATATGAAAATTTGTAAAACATGATTACTGTATCATGTGATATGTAAATTGAGTAAAATACTACAGTACATCTCACTACTGATAAATTCTTGTAGTTACTGAATATCATTGTAAAATAGTTCCAAAATAGTTATGCATTTTTTTAGTACTTTAAGGCTAAAATGCAATGATCGGATTCCCTTTTACACTGCTAATAGACAGTATAATCCATCAATAAAGAAGTCCATAGCTGCCCTAAGCATAGGAATTAGTATATATTGTAGTCTGACTAATATAATATTTAAAATAACTTACTACTAATAAGAGAGAGATTACTTAGGTAGGATAGCATCCTTAATAGGCTTAGCTTAAGGGCTTATGCCTTAGGGTGAACACTCACATAAATATTCTTTTGACAGCCAATAATAGTTGCAAGGCAATAACCGCCTCTCAACCGATTTGATACAATGATTGTGGGCAAATCAATCCAAATCGGGTGACGTTTCGCGCGATCAATATCTTGCCACGTCACCACACTCCGGCGACTCTTCCACTCTCCACCAGTACCAAACGACATCCGGTCCGTTCCCAGGCGCTCATGCCAGGAATACACTTCCGCAGCAGCCTGTCAGCCTCAGCCCCATCATCACTTCATTCACGGCTCGCTTCTATTTCTCTGCACAGCGACTTTTTCCTGTGGCGTCGACAGGGCTTCCCTCGGGACGAAGAGCGGCTACCGCCGAGGACCTGGGCGCACTCTGGCGTTAACGCTGCCCTCTCCCCTCGCGGAAGCCGCCGTCTTTCAATCTCCCGGATGGACCCGCGAATGGTAAGGCTGGCTTTCATCTCCGCGACCCCTTCACTTCATACCCAGGTGATTCAATCGTCACATTGTCTCACTTGATATCATGGGATTTCAGCTGACCCGCCCACAGACTCTAGATCTCATCGCGCATCGAGTGGCCCCGGTTTCCGTCCATGGTGTCAATTTTGCGAGAGCCCAAGTGCTTCTTTCCGAGGAGGTTGATCCGACCCCCGACGACGCGGGGAAACCATCGTCTACCCCGCATCTTCTGAGTCTTACGTGGCTGTTTCCTCACAGCACTTCTTTCGCAAATGCCCTTGACGATCCCATATCAGGAGAAAGCTTCGCACCGTCTAACTACCGGCCACACATCCGCGGGAAGGTCAGTGTTCCGACCCATTGTACCATGATTCGAATGACCGAATTGGCAACAGGGAAGCACCATCATAATGGAGGCCGCGAAGCGCAGGGGTTTGCTGGAAGCCTGGAACAGACTCGGCGCGATTCTCTCAGGTATGTAAGTATGGCATTTACATGGAGCGATGGGAGATCCTATATGCCGCACAGAGAAGCTCATTTGAGCCGTGGTCGCCAGCGATTTAGCACACGAATTTCAGCAGGCTACGATCGATACAGCGAGAGGCAACGCGGTGGGATGAGATGGATTGACGGATAACTTATGAGAACGGGGTAAACTCTTTTCCATCATTGCTTCCCTGTTGAGTATGTTTTGGCAGTGACGATCCAGAAGAATGGAGAGTTGGGACAAGATGGTGGAGGTGTCTTCTTGTGTGAGTTATCCTGCCCCGAACCTTATTTCGGAAGGATGTAACAATTGTTCTCCTCTTCTTTCGCCACTTCGATATTATGGACCGGCAGATACTCGGAAGATGACCCGCTGGTCGTCAATGATCCTTTCACCAAGAACAATTTTTACATTCAAAAGACGAACAGTCTATGATGGGTGCGTGTGAAATCTCTGCCTTTTTCGTCCAAGATCCTCAATGTCCATCAGAGAGCTGTCTCGGACCTTTTTGTCATTTCGGGCTCGCGTGGTCGTTGCGCGGAGGACACGCCGTCGCATCGACATTCTCCCCCCACCTCGCCAAAAGAACGGGGTGCCTTGTGTGTCTTTTACTGCTGGTCCTGTCCACCGCGCCCTCAAGTTCCAATGCCACCACGTCAGCAAGAGCCGCTCTTCGACGATGCATACGCGCAATACAATAGCGACAGCTCGGACTTGGAGTCGTCGCTGAATCCGTTTGGACCATCTGACGGCGGGGGCAGTAGTCGGTGTGAGTACTCGTATATTGGCTTACTACCATCTTCCCCTCCCTCCCTTCCGTTCATCGGCGCCCTTGCTCGCTCACTTACCTGCTCGGGAATAGGGCTTCGGTATCAGGCGCCAGACGACAAAAGTCTCTATGCGTTGGCCGGGCAGCTACAGCATCCCACGTCAATATACGACCCTCTTCGACACAGCGACCAGCCACCACACCACTACTACGGCGGCGCTCTGGATGGGCGCCTGTCGAGTCCCACTAGCGCAACGACTTCCGTATCAGAATATGACCACGACTTTGGAGACGTTGGACGTGCACGATACCAGCATCAAGCTCCCAGCCACCAACACCCGTTCGCCCTCCGTAGCGATTCATATTTCCCGGTCGACACACCTGACCCACGTCCTACCCCGCCGTTGTCCTTCCCAATATCGCAGTCGTCGTTACCGTTGCCGTTGCCTTCGGCATTTTCGTCGGCAACCCAAATGGATGTTCCGGATTACCACTACGATCCGCGGGGGTTTACGTTGGGCAATATACGGCCTCCCACCACCTCGGGCGAGGTCGTCGCCTCTCATATGACGTCGGATTCGTTGCAACAGCCATCTGCCGTCGTCATAGCATGCCGGCCCTGGTGAGTAGCCTGCCTGCATACCGTTTGCGCCAAAGCTGACACATTGCCTGTGCATCTTTTTTTCATTAAACCATATCCTCTTCGTATCACCAACGCTCGAACTTTCTGCCCTGTCCTTGCCATTGCGATTTCCCCGGTTCATTATGGACGACGGCGACTAATTGACGTCGATGCGCGCTACCAAACAGTCGGGGTCGGAAGATTAAGTGCGACTCGCTCCGGCCTAGTTGCAGCAACTGTATTCGCCGACACACGCCATGTATATATGACGCGGCTCCCAAAAGGAGGGGACCTGACAAGCGTCCGGGTACCAGGAAGCGCTCGTGCAAACGCAAGGCAGTCCCAGCCGAAGACGCTAAGGAGACAGAGACCGACGACGACGCCAAGCCGCCCGCGAAACGCCAGCGTAAAGTGGGCGCAGATTCGACCGCCAAGGCTGACTCTGACATCAGAGAAATATTGACGGAGGAGTCCAAGACCGAGCTCCGGTCCAAGCACAAGGCGAAGGCCAAAGCGAAGGCTGCGCGAACGGCAGGCTCGCTTTCCGATACCGCAGCATCCCCCTCTTCCTCTCCCGTTGAGCCACGTAATCACTCATTTCCCATTGCGCGCCCGCTCCAGATAACGACGCAATTCGTCCAGGTGTGCAATAGGATCTGCTCTCGTAGGATTAGTCTAACCCTTTCTCGTAGTCGATACCTTCAACTTTAAAACACTCCCCCTTATCTCTCGACGAATCCACCCCCACCTCACTTGAATCAATGTTCTCGATCCTTCCGCCTTCACAGCTGACTCTTCCGGGTGACCCTACTTCTGCACTCGCATCCGGATCCGGATCCGACCGCCGACAATGGTGGTCAAATTTTCTTCAAGAAGTCAGGTCAATGCCATTCTACTGTGATGGCTCGTTCTTATGTTTTTGTCAGCCTCAATAAAATCAGTGGCGACTTGACATTTGTGTAAGCGGCCCCAAGCTCCTCGATGATGTAGCACTTACACTCAGGTTAGCTTCGGCGATACAGGGCACTGGCTGTCCTTTCTTCACTTGCCTTCCCTGCTCCACGTATTGTGGTCGTCTAACGAGCGACCGACGCTTCCGCCAGCGTTTATCTTATCAGCGCTGGCTTTGGCAGAGTTGATGCGCTCCAGCGAGCTGGAACGCGGTGGCGCGGGAAGGGATAGAGCAGCCCGACTCCGAGCAAGTGCACAGGCCGCTTTCGATGCTGATTTAGCCCAGCCTGAGGTGACTTTCATGTTTATATCTGATTTTAGGACTGAAAACGGCGATCGTCAGGTTGATTATCGTCTCGCCGAAGCCGCTTTGGTAAATACACCGTGCTTTGAGCATTTCCCGTGACTAATTGCCTTCTAGATCATTGTCTTGTATGAGTTTTGCGCGCACCCCTCGTTTCATCGCGATCGGATGTATACCGCTCTGCAGCAACTGGACGGACTTCTCCATCGCCTCAACCTATTTCAAGTTGATTTCCAGAACACACACGTTTCGTTCTTCGATCCTATCAAGGTTCCACTCGTCAAGCTGCCGCTCCAGAGCGAGCTTCAGCAACAGTCGGCACGATCATACTCTTTGCAGCCTGAGCAAGAGCGACTCCCGCGACGAACTTGTCAGTGCAGCAGTGAGCCTGGATCCCCGCCGCCAAACAACACGGTATTCAATCATATGGCCCCGCGCTGGTATCCTGGGTGGTCGACCAGCGAAATTCGAACAGAGGAGTGCAGAAGGCTGGTTTGGAGCTCGCTTGCCGCTGCGAGCACATTCATGGTGCAATTTGCGGCACTGGAGAGCGACTACCCGCCTTTGCCCATGGCAGAGTCGACAAGTGTACGTCGTTTCGCTCCGCTTAATCCATCGCTGATGTCGTCTGGATATATCAGTATGCCCTCTTCTTTCCGACCGAAATTGCCGATCAAATATCACCGGCATTTTCCCGTCCGGATGGGCCGTCGCCGAAAGAGTCCATCTGGGCTTTGCACTGTCGTATCCTCCTGTTGTGGAACTTCTCACGGCGAGTTGCTAAAGCCTCTCTATCGTCCGACGTAGATCTGGACTCCGATGCTCTGCACGAGTCCTGGAGCGAGGCGCAAGCAATCGAAGACTCGTTGGAGCTGCATGTGTGCAACTACGATACGGGGATCCTCTACATGAGCCACGAGTTCGTGCACAAGTACGCTATTTATACCTGTGTCTGTCTGCACATCCGCTAACTCCAATTAGCACGCGAATGAATGTGACACAGGCCTTGCGGCGTGTGCACGGCTTTTCCCGGTATCAGTCGACGGCCCCGGGGTTGGGGTCCCTCTTCAACAACCGCAAGCAAGCTGCTGAATGGGGTTAGTGTCGTCGCCATAATTAGCCCTTGCTTACCTGTCATAGTGGAGTACCAATCACAGGTCGTGAAGCGAGTCAAATATGCTATCTACCATGCACATCGCCGATCGCACGCACAACACAACCTGCTCACACGTCGTCCATACGAAGTTTCCTGGTTTTTGAACCAACTCTCTGTGTGCGTTGCCGTTCGTCCGCCCTGCCTCGTTTGCTGACAGCGGCGCAGCTGCGTACAAATATGGACCCATGACAACACACTCTTGGATGCCGTGTCCCTGGGCAAGGATGTCCTGGCAATTATGGACGCGCTCAACTCATGGTGGCCGTGCGAGGGTATGTACCCTGCTTGCTCTGTGATGATCTCTGAATCCTTTAGCCAACCGTAACCACACCGAATTGCTGAGGAAACAACTGGTCCACGCTTGTTCCGTCACGGGGATCGAGCCGCCGAACCTTCTGCCGTTAGGCTTAGATACAAGTCTTATACGGCTTTGAGTCGTTGTCATGCTCCTGGGACGTTCAACACTTTTTATCACCTTGTATATCCGTCGTTTTTCGTTTGTTTGCTGTTGTGTTGCATAGTGTACTATTATTTGTGCCGACTACTCAAGAATGGATAAAAGTATGTGCATTGGACTCTGGAGTCCTGAGTCAATGGCTGTAGTGGCCTCGAACCTGGAAAATTCTGATGCACAACTGATGCATTATGCTTCTGAAACTTGCGGAGAGAGCGAGGGAGGTGCGCGACCGACCGAGCGAGCGACGCTGGACTAAGTTGGGGAGCTGGGGTGGACAATGTGAAGCGCTAGAGTCGTTTTTTGGGGAACGGGAGCCACGACGTTGGCAACGTTTCGTCAACATCAGGTGATTTTTCCCGTGAAAGCTACCTAAACAACTGGAAATTTTTCCCCTTGGGTCGTACTGTACCGTACATAGATCTCCCCCCGCCCTATACTTACTATACTGTTTTGCTCATTCATTCTTGGCGTGGCACTGCATATGAAAATATGAATCTGGATGATTTCCTTATTTGGTTCTTGACTGGAAAATACGCAAAATTCCTGTTTTAGGACATAAAATCGAAACGCGCAAAAATTTTGTGGGCATGACATATGACACTTAAAGTGCTGAAAATGCTATAGTAGCATTATGCTCCAATATACACACATTTGGGCCTTGGAATGTAATATAAGAGTAGTCCTGTCACGGTCACATTGATATTTTTGTTCGAAAAAATTCTGCCTGTCACAGGTCACAGCCAATTTCTTTAGCCTCAAACTAGCCCAAAATAGTAATAGTAATTTCCAAAAAAAAGAAAAGAAAAAAATGATGCCTAGATTGTAGGGGGTAATTACACCAAACAAATTTGGCCCTTGGCTGAATTGCACATTTCTGTCACATATGTCACAGGTCACAGGCCTATAGAATTGCTACAGTATGAGATTTAATATAAATGTATGTGCATATCTGGTATAGGCTTTTTACTATAGACAATCTAGGTGTACTTTGGTTAACAGTCTGAAAAGGTTGTTTAACAGATGTTCAGCCCAAATTCTGGTGGGACCTTGTCAGGAGAACCCCTCGACTTTGGCCTCCTCCGGATTGTCCAAGCACATCCAAGGTGCATCTGACCAGCGCCCCCTCGGACACTCTGACCTACCCTGATATCCACAGCCTCTTTTGCCCGCATAATCACCAATCTGTCAAGACCCTCCCAATAATCACCTTGGGACAAGGCTTGCGACACCACCCAGGCCTTCTGCACTCTACAATGGCAGCTACGGACGACCAGTATATAGTTGGCGCCCTAGCAGGTGGACCCTTGGGGTTTTTTCTCTTTAGATCCTCCTGTCACGGATAAGGCCCGGCCCGTCCCCTCCAGCGCTGGTGTTGGGCCACCGCGGGCCTGAAACACGTGGCACGTGACGACAGGGAACAGGCACCCCAGTAGAAGAAACACACATGTGGAAAGCACTTGACTGAGAACAATGCGTTGACAACCTTTCTCACTGGTGTGAGAAAGAACAAGAAAAGCAAGAGCCCTTCAAACTGCTCTAACTGCAACCAAAGGCTACAGCACAACCAGAGAGGGAGAAGAAGAGGTAGACTTTGAACTCTGAGAGAAACTCTGCTGTGAGGGAAACTATATGATATGATGAACTAACTGGAGACAGGCTTATATACCCTACTAACTAGGAGCTAGGAGAAGGAACAGGAACAGGAACTATAAGGAAACATACAGGAACTAAGGAACACATAAAGGGAGAGATCAGGAACAACTACCAAATATGGACAAACAAGACCAAACAAGCAACAACAAGCCAAAGGCTTGTCAGCGTTGAGCCGTTGCTAAGCCCAACTCGATACCAGGGGACAGGGGAGGAGTGCTAGGAGGTTAGGAGTAGCGCCTGGCCCACAAGGGATGTACAATCGTCCCCTATGCGGCCAGGAACGGGGGCGAGGCCAGTGTAAGGGCAACCCCGGAGGCCTGAGATCAAGGTCCTAGCAGGGGAGGATCCAAAGAGTGAACATTGGTAAGCGAATACAAATGAAGCTGACCTAGCAGGGGAGGATCCAAAGAGAAGAAACTCTAAGGGTCTGCCTGCTAGGGAGCTGACTATATACTGCTTGTCCATAGCTGCCGCTGTCGGGCACAGAAGGCTTGGGCGGCGTCGCAGGCGAGGTCCCAGGGCGACCGTCGGGAGGGCGTTGACGGATCGGTGATTGTGCGGGCCAGATGGAGGGCCGGACTGGAGTCGGAACCGGAGTCGGACCGGAATCGGACGCGTCTCCGGGCCAAAAGGGAGGTTCCCCTGACATCACCCCCCCTTTGAATGCGGCGTCTCGACGCATAGACCGGAACGGAATCGAGTCGAAGGTCGCGGAGGCGATGTGTCGTGGCTTGCCAGGGTACTTACGATAGAACTCCGCAATTTTATCCGGGGCGAAGACGCGGTCGAAGCGGACCCACTGGTCGTGCGATACGTCGTAGCCTTTCCATCTGACGAAGTAGTTCAGCCGTTTATACCTCACCCTTGCATCCAAGATTTCCTCTACTTCCCACTCCGGGACTCCGTCCTTGAGGTCCAGAGGGGGCTGGTCGTAGCCGGGGCATCCGTCGAAGGGGTCGTCCTTGGCGAGCTCGAGCTTGACGACGGGGAAGACCGGGTGGAGCTTCGAGTAGCGCGGAGGGAGATCGAGCTTATAGGCACCTTTGCTGATCTCCGCGACTATCTTGAACGGTCCGAGGCGGCGATGGGAGAACTTTTCCGAGGGGCGAGTCGTCCTGATGTCAGAGGCATCCAGCCAAACATGGTCGCCAACCTTAAACTCCGGAGACGGAGTGCGTCTCCGGTCGTAGTAGCGCTTGTACTCCTCTTTAGCCTTTGTGAGCGCGGCCTTGGCTTCAGCAACACCAGTGGTGATCCGGTCGCGGAACTCGTTCACCGACTCCATGGCGGAACGGACTCCGGGTTCGAAGCCCATGCGTGGGAGCCGGCCCGTGTCCGTCATGAAGGGGACCTGCTGCGTGGAGGAGTGAACATGGTTGTTGTAGGCGAACTCCGCGGCTGCAATCAGCTCATCCCAGTCATCCTGCTGGTAGTTGGTGAAGATCCGCAAGTACTGCTCCAACTCCTGGTTGACGCGCTCTGTCTGACCGTCTGTCTGCGGGTGGTACGCGGTGGACGTGGCAGGCTTGATGCTGATTAGGCGCCAGAGTTCTCGGGTGAAGTCCGCGATGAACTGTGAGCCGCGGTCGGAGATGTACTTCTCCGGAGTCCCATGGTGCCGCCAGACGTTCCGGTAGTAGAGGCGGGCTGCCCCTACTGCATCGACCGTCGTATGACACTCCGAGAAGTGGGCGCGCTTTCCGAGGGTGTCCACAATGACCATGATCGCGTCGTACCCATGGGCTTTGAGAAGCTCTACAATGAAGTCGACGGGGACGGTATGCCAGCGTTCCGGGGGCGTTTCCGTGGGGTGCAGCTCTCCGTGGGGTAGTCTCCGAAGTGCCTTGGTGCAGCAGCACAAGTCACAGGTCGCAACATACCGGCCGATATGGCGAGACATCTGAGGCCACCAGTAGTTCCGGGAGACCAACTCCAAGGTCTTGAAACAACCTGCGTGTCCGGCGACTCGGGTGTCATGGCAGAGCTCAATGATGCGTCTCCGGAGGTCCTTGTCCTTTGGTACAACGATCTTCCCTCGGAAATGGAGAAGACCGCCGGAGACGGCCCACTCGTCAGACCGTGAGGAGCGGGGGCCTCGAGCTTGACCTTGAACCTTAAGAAGTTGCCGGGCCGCTAGTGCGACAGGCTCCTCCAGGTCAGGCTCACCAGAGAGGGCATCCGCGGATGTCGCGGAGGAGTTCAGAGCCGGGACCGGAAACGGAAACGCCCTCGAGCACGCGGACGTGGAAGAGTTCAGGCCGCAGAAGGACGACATCGGAGTTGTCGGAATCGACTCCGTGGTCGGGTCTCCGGGAGAGGGCGTCTGGTCGACCCATGTCGCGGCCAGGCTTGTGGTGCAGCATGAAATCGAACCGGGAGAGGTACAGGGACCACCGGGCCTGTCTCCGGTTGAGGTGCTGCGTCTTCCTGAAGTACTCCAAATTCTTATGGTCAGTCCAAATCTCGACAGGGTGCGTGGCGCCCTCAAGGAAGTGTCTATACTCCTCGAGTGCGCGGATGATCGCGAGCATGTCCTTGTCATGGATTTCGTAGTTGCGCTGGACATCATTTAAGCTTTTGGAATAGAATGCTACAGCGTGCCACTTCCCGTCCGGGGCAGATTGTGAAAGAACCGCCCCCGTCGCATAAACAGAGCTGTCCGCCTCGAGTCGGAAAGGCCGTGCGTCGTCCGGAATCGCCAGGACCGGTTCCGAGGTGACTGCGTCCTTGATCACTTGGAACGCGGAGGCCTCCGCGTCGCCCCAAGTCCACTGCTGGTCCTTCTTGGTGAGCACGAAAAGAGGGCGCGCAAGGGTCGAGAAGTCCCGAATGAACCTGCGGTAGAAATTAGCGAACCCAAGGAACTGCTGAATGTCCTTCTTGTTTTCCGGAGTCGGCCAAGCGGAGACACCTGCGACCTTGACGGGGTCCATTTCGACGTGGTTATGGGAGATGATGACTCCGAGGTACTCGATTGACGATTTTTCAAAGTTGCACTTCTCCACTCGGAGGTACAACTTGTGCTCTCGGAGTCGCCGCAAGACCTCCTGAACGATCTGCCGGTGTTTCCGGAGGTCGGAATGGGTGATCAGGATGTCGTCGAGGTAGATCATGACGTCTCCAGAGAGGATGAGGTCCTGGAAAATGTCATTCATCATTGTTTGGAACGTCGCAGGAGAGTTTGTCAGGCCAAAATACATCACCAAGGGCTCGAACAGGCCCCGGTTAGTTCGAAAAGCCGCTTTCCACTCGGCTTATGCTGGCATAACCATTCAGCTGTGACTATAGCTTACTTAATGAAAGTTGTTTGTATAAACAAAACAT